CTCCTGAGCTCTGCTTCAAAGAAGTCAACAGCAAAGGAGATCGCTTCGGCAACTGTGGCTACCTCAACCACGGCTTCAAGAAGTGCGAGAGCAGGTAACACACACACACACACACACACACACACACACTCTTCCTTAGTGTCCGTCCCAGTGTGAGGCTGAGACTGATGATGTCACAAAGTCCCACGCAAGTTAAACGCACCTCCAGCTTTGACCTGATGGTGGCGCTGTGTGCGCTCCAAACCGTCACTACACCTGTGTCGCTAACAAACTCCATCTCCCAGGGTGCACTTCAAAGCCCCGCCCACATGACTGTGCTGTGTTCAGGCGTCTTTCCCACAGTCCGTCTTCGAGCCTTCTCCTGAATCCTCCGATTCCTCATCGTGTTTGTTGCCATAGAAACGCCATGTGTGGGAAACTGCAGTGCTCCAACGTTCAGGCGAAGACGGTGTTCGGCATCGAGCCGTCGATCATCAGCACGCCAATCGCCGGAGGGAAATGCTACGGCGTGGACTTCATGCTGGGCTCGGACGTGCCCGACCCCGGGATGGTGAACGAAGGGACCAAGTGTGGAGAGAACAAGGTGAGGAGGAGGGAGGAGGGAAGGGGACGAGGAGGGAACAACGAGGTGTTAAAGTTTCTTCTTCTGCTCAGGTGTGTGTGAACTTTGAGTGCCGCGGCGCCGACGTCCTGAGCTACGATTGCGACGTGCACACCAAATGTCACGGACACGGGGTGAGTCGCCTGCCTGTCCTCCTGCCTACCTGTCTGTCAGGTGAGTCACATGACTCAGGTGTCGCCTGTCTGTGTGTCGCAGGTGTGCAACAGCAACAGGAACTGCCACTGCGACTACGGCTGGGCTCCGCCTTTCTGCGAGTTATCGGGTTACGGTGGAAGCGTTGACAGCGGACCCACGTGGAACGGTATGTCACCTGCAGACCTCGGACTTACCTGAGGTCAGCCGTGTTAACGCCCTCCTCTGTGTGCCCCTCCCCCAGATAAGGACACGTCTGTCAGGGACGGCCTGCTCGTCCTCTTCTTCGTCGTCCTCCCGCTGCTCGCTCTCGGCGTCTTCGTTTTCCTGCGCAGGAACGAGCTGCTGCGGCGACTCGGGCTGAGCCGCAGGAAGAGGTCTCAGGGATATGAGTGAGTGCACGCGCACACGCACGCCGCCACGACCGCAGGAACCGCGTGTTCTCTGTGCTGCGTTCAGGGACACTCTGAATATAATTGTAAACCATTAGCTGCACGCGTGGCGCTGCTCTCACGGTCATGTCTCCCTCAGGGCTGACGGCGTGGCTTCAGCCAATCACAGCAGGAGACCGCCTCCCAGAGCGCAGCCTCCACCTGTTGCCCGGGGTAACGCCAATAACATCGTCAGAGACGGGGTAAGTTTAGGGTTTAAGTAAACATGCAGATGTGATTTAGGAGGTGGCGTCTCCCTCGTTTCACACACACCTGCCTCACCTGTCCAGGTGTGTGATGATGTTTGTAGCATCGTTCCTGCAGCTTCACCCGGTTTGTTCTGTGTGAGCAGTGAGTGGGCGTGTCTACAGAAGGTTACAATTAAAAATCTTCAGGTGGACACGCCCACACGGCCTCCTGCTGCTGCTGCTGATGATGATGATGATGTTGATGATGATGATGATGATGATGATGATGATTTTACTAACGACACAAACCTGCTGTGACCCTGCTGATCAGGAGGCTGAGAATGTAGACGGTGGTGATGCTCTCCTGGTAAGCCTCAGTGTAGAAGCTGAAGGTAGACGTAGTGATGAGAACACCAAACACAGTTATTGATCACTGTCGTTAGATGACCTCACAGGCTGGTCGATCAGCTGATCGCTGACAGTGACAGACTGTACTAACCAACCGAGCAGCTGATCGGCTGTCTGCACGGTTTATTGATGAGCTGATTAAGCTGTGTGATTAATCACTGTAGTGTGTGTGTGTGTGTGTGTGTGTGTGTGTGTGTGTGTGTGTGTTGATGCATGAGCTCTAACACGCTCTGCTCTCTCTCCATGTGTAGCACCACGCTCAGCTGCTGCCACCACAAGAGGTAAACCCTGCTCACTTCTCGTTACCACTCTAACTACTGCTGGTGATGTAGCGTTAGCTTAGCGCTGCGCTGTCTGCAGGTTAATCATCACAGCAGGAAACTAGAAAGCAGCTTTCACTGACCCAATGACATCAGGTAAACTGGGAGAGTCAGACAGGACAGGTAGATCGGTGTGAGGGTTTGAATGGGACAATGACTCGCAGATTTACCCAGGTGTGCTTCCTCTGTGTGTTCAGGTGGTGGAAACCAGCCGGACGGCTCCTTCCCATGCTCTGAAGCCGCCACCGCCTCCTCTGTAAGAAGTCGCGCACCACCACATGCACCGAAACACAAACCGAAAACAATCATTTCAGTCAAACCTGAAATGTGGAAACTTGACTTTCAAACTAAAAGTTGTTTTTAAACATTTGACGCGACAGCGGCATGTTTCCAAAAAATACAGCTTTTTGCATTAGCTTCTAAATGATTTGATCTAACTTGGTGTTAACTAGTTATAGAAGCTAGCCTTAAGCTAATGATTCTTAGAAGCTAAATTTAAGCTACTGAGCCTTAGATGCTAACTTGAAGCTAATTGGACAGTTAATGGGATTCAAAGCTGTACCTGTGGCTGATGCCAAATCGACTGTGTTTACAAATAATTTTAAGCCAACTGTGAGTTTGCTGGTTACTAAAATGCAATTTAATTTTAAGCTAAATTGTCTTCTACTCTTCTAGATTTAATAAACTTAAAAGCTGCATTTAAGCTAAGTGGATCTAAATATAAGCCAGATCAGGGCTCTAGACTAACTTTTTGCCAC